AGTGAAGATATTAAAGGAAAGTGGAGGAAAAGCCAAGTCGATGGAATCCTTATCGGCAATTCTTTCTGTCAGTCTGCGAGTATTATCTGACCGTACGAGGATTTTCAAGGTAGTCAGCACGTGTGTGTGAGCAGTGCGCGCACGAACGGACGTCCATTATGTGCGCGCGCGAGAAAAATGAAGCGCGAGCAGGCTTGAGGCGTGAAAAATTAAAGTTTTCGGAGGCCCATTCATTTTCCGCACTAGACTGATGGCTGCTTTGAATGCTCCTGCAAATATGGAGGAGCGAAAGAGAAAAAAAAGGTGGAGCTTTTTCTTCGAGTCCCACGCGGCTAACGGCTTCCTCTTTGTCATAAGCTTTTAAGGAATTTCCTCTTTCTCGCGGAGACGCAGAGACTTTGCCTCTGAAGGAAGTTTGTGTATTATGTTTGTTTTTCCTGCGGGAAGCCGCTCACGCCCGCGTTTGTATGCGTGCGTGTGGGCAAACACAAAGAAGTGGTTTTCTTTGAGACGCGCGAGCGCGGCGCGACTTCTGTAATGATGAATCACAAATATTTTTGCTCCGAGGGAAAAAGTTGGCGTGTTCTTGCGGTACCTGATTCTCGCGGAAGAATAACTTCCTTTTTCCGTTGCTGCGTAAAGTACAAACCAACCACAATCGAGGCATTCAGCGGCAGTTGCGCAGACTTACGCGGAAAATTGTGCGCGCGCCCCCTCTGGCTTTAAATTTCGTAACCGCCATAAATAAAAGTTTCCAGCCAGTGAGCATCAGTCATTTTAAGAGGCAAAATCTTATAAGATTCCGTGCGCTAACGTTTTCGTTGCAACTCGCTTGCGCGAACGCATGTAAGCGGTAAATCCATTTCATCTTGGAAGTGCCAGAGCGTAAAAACTTTCTCGTTGCACGTTGCCGCTTCTTCGTTCATTCGTTCTCCCTTTTTTTTCAACCACACCCAACCTCGTCGATTTCCTTGTTGAAATACGTCGCGAGATATCCCTCGGGAGAATTCCAAGTCCCAGCGCACTCTCTTGGCACACTTTAATCTAAGTCTCGCTGCCCGACACTCCTAGCTTCAACCTCACACATTTTTTAAATATTACATTTTTATTTTTTTCGAAACACGCATACAGAGATACTATTTTCCCGAGCTATTCATTTTCAAATGAATTTCTACGTCACTGTGCTTGAAACTGTAATCCAAGTTCATTTTACTTGCCATCCGTTGTTTGGATACAAGTCGTGAATACATTTTTATTTTTACTGTTAATTATGTCTCGTTATTCACCAGGAACTTTAACAATACTGTCGTTTTTCATTTTTGTTCCTATTTTATTTGAGGTATATGTGTCTTATGCTTTCGACCGAGATTAAAATTTTATTTTTTTCTTGATTAATTTACTGATAACCAATTCGAATGTATAAAAATTTTGGAAATCTGTATATATAGTTGATTGGAATATTGTAACGTACCCTGTGACAAGTACGTGCAATTGTTTTTGTATTCGCATAATAAAGATTTATATTTAAACAGATTTTTCTGTTGATCAAGATATTTATAATTGAAGAGATAACGGATATTTTTTGCCCATGCAATAAAATACGTCGTGAAAGCTTCGTAGATAGTAGTATTTTTATATGCTCTTTCAATATTTGAAGAAATCATATAATAATACTGCTGTAAGAAAGAGAGAGATTGAGTGAGTGCGTAAGAGTTTATTTCCTTTTCTTTATTTACTACATTGTGATAAAAGCCGTCGTTTTACAGTAGCTTCGCGAAAGAAAAAGAGAGGTGTGACAGGCTCGACGAATGAACCTTTCAACGTCGTTTTAGACGTTCTACTAACTCTGCCCAGTAGTACCGCACCTCTACACAAGTTTATCCCTTCCCATCTCACGTTCACTCCCTCACTCGTTGACCCATCGGCCTAGGATTGACCTTGTGTCCATCTTATCCAGGAGCTATGCTCCCAGCGGAGGCTCAGCCTTCCGAAGCCTTGACTTGGTGAAGCTAACAGGGTGCTACGCCAATGTCACGCACGTTGCGCTCGTCTACGTATGGAGAGGAGTTCGGAGCAGTGAGAGGCTAGGTCGTACGTGCGATGCCGCATACATTTATCTTACAATTAAATGCGATACATTTTCAATGCTCTCGTACGTATGCAACAAATTGTGGCGCACGTACGTAGCAGCGTGCTTACCTGTGAGTTTTCGCAGAGTTTTCCCCGCTTCCGTTTTCATCTAATACGGCGTCGGAACGTTCATTCTCTCACTCTACTCGGTGCATTTTCCCTCTCCTTTTTCACTAGCAATCGTGCTTGTGTTTTCAACGTTCTTAACATCTGCGAAGGCACACTGGAGCTACTTTCCATGATAACACCCAGCACTTTCTTCCCGATGTTATACGCTATCTGGGCAATCATTTTCAGAATTTAAGATAATAAAATAAAAGCAGCGATTACGAATACTTCATGAGAAGCACGGGTGTGTGCATGTGATGTGTTTTCGTCACACCCCGGGTTCTCGCGCACGTCGGGCAAAAAAACAAAGGTTAGAGCCTCGGTAGTCAGCAAAAAGAAGAAGAAGAAGAAAAATAAGAAGAAGAAAAAGCAGCTAGAGTGTGTGCACTAACGATGGATTGATATAACGATCGCTCGTTCTCGTCCATATTCGAAAGGGATGCTGGGGCTGTGCTGGAAGAAACTAAGAGAAAAAACAGCTGCCGTGTAACGGGATATTTTTCATCCAAGGAAAACAAGTGACAAGATATCGACAGGTTTGATATTCTCTCGTGGACGTGGATTCCTTTTTTCCTTTCTGGTTGGCGCAAGTTCGTTGAACCATCACCACCATCACAGAAAGTTGCCGACGACGAAGAGCCATTAATCACCGAATCACGGTAGCTACGGAGGTCCGCGCTATATACGCTCGGTTAGCCTTAATAAGCGTCTTCCATCTGAAAGCACTGGGCCCTGAGCCAATCTTCGCGAGGCACAGGCATGAGACCTGTATGCTCGTACTCTCGCGGTTTGCGCATCATTAACCTGCCGCTCAAACAAAAATCAAACCTGATGTTGCTGTCGCTGCAGCGTAAATTACTCTCATCCGCTTTTCGAGTTGCTGGCTCCTCCAGATTTTAATCAGCGCCTCAGTTATCGACGCGCGAGATTCATTCGCCAAGAAAAACTAGTTGGCCACGAGCCAGTGATGATCGTTGACCCTGAGAACTGAAAGCGTCGTTCCTTTACTTTTTTTCTTTTTTGCTTTCTCTTAGCCGACTTACGACCGATATCTTTCCTTGGTTCTCTTTCGCCAGTTGATTTTTCCACCTCTATCCTTCTTTCTCTTTTTTTTTAGCTTCTGGAGTCGATAGTTTTATATCTACACTCTCGATTTTATTCGTCGTTCGGCTGTATTCGTGTGCACGAGCTGCGGTCCCATCCAACAAGAAATTCGCGTGAAAAACCTTCCTAGTGCTTTTTCTTTTTGTGCGCCAAGGCTTTCGAATGAATTGAATTGGCCCAGAGTGGCGAATTCAATCAAGAGACTTGTCAATATTGTTTTTTATTCATGCGACTATAATCAACAAAACTATTAGTTAGACAGGATTACTCAATTTTAATTATTATTTATTTACTTATTAAAGCTCCTTTAATATTATCGTAATGTTTTCTTTGATTGGTTCCTTGAAAACAGAAACGTTGTGATTACAATCTGAAATGGAAATTGTTTAAATATATCATGGTTTGGAGAAGAGTCGGTAAGAAGGTAACTCTGCATTGGGGTAACGTAGAAGGTCACTAAGAGAAGACGAGTCGTACAGCGTTAGCCATGGTAGTAGAGCAATGGCAGTAGTAGAAATAGCATCAAGGCTCTTACGGAACCGGCTATAACTTCTGGAAGAAGCCGAGTCGCTTCTAATTCAGTTTAATGGACGGTTGGAAGACAAACTACGTTAGCGATGCCAATGCCGAAAGGACTTTGGTAGCGTAGCGCTGTACAGTGCAGAGCGCGCGGTAAGGAGGCTCTTACGTTTCCCTGGAGACGACCATGCCATGCCATAGCAAAGCTTCGAACACCCCCGATCGATTTCCAAGTATAGATACCCAAAGAGCCTTTCGATCTCCTATTGTCCTTGCGACAATAAATTACTTTTAAATCAAACTATCGATTCCACACACAACGAAAACGGTCAAGCGAGAAAGAAGGAGAGAGAGAGAGCTTTAACTGCGAGATTTGTCTCCGCGTACTAGTCGTATGTAGTGGCTCTCTTTCGAATTTCAAGTACAAAAGAATAATCACTCACTCAACTCTTTTACGAATCAGGCTAAGAGGATTGCTTGCTCTCACTTGTTATCAATGGATGAGCGAGCTCGAAAAAGAGATTATGATGAAACGAATTAGACAAGTTTATGCCGCTATTGCTGCTCCCGTTCTTTCAGGCCAAGTAAAAGCATCCCGTCCGCGCGTCGATTGTTTAAGAGTCCGAAAACTCCACTTTACTTTTGATGTCGTACCCGTTCACGTTTGCGGCCTGTTTGAAAGCTTCAGTTGTGGTCAACCGCTTGATTAGGTGACGAAAAGGTGTTACGGAGATCTTTTATAGTTGTCTTACATTCATTGTATTAGAGCACATTAGCTTCAACTGTTAAAATTAGTGCTTTAATTTAGATCTTGAATAATTAATTTATAATTTTAGCTCGTTATTTGATTCATTAATTCGTGATAAATTGACAATATTATGTTTCTATCAATCTGAAAAGAACTTTCAAGTTCTCAAACAATCTTTAAGTTTCTAGAAATATCATTTACTTAGTTATGTTTAACTTCTAAGAGCTCAACGATTTCCAACGTTAATTTTATCGTACCTAACTATAATACTTATCGTGTTCTCATTGTTAATGTGGTAGGGAGTTAAAAGTTTCTGACTATTCATCTATTAATAGAACATTTCAGATAAAACTATTGAATCATATCAAGCAAAAGCATTGAATAGACTCACCTATAACGGTAAAGTTGACCTTATAATTCTTGCTAGGCGAGTTGTGAAAGTCGACCCGGCACCTATATTCTCCAACATCGTTCTCCTGTACGTTTTTGATGAGTAAATGTCCAGGGACTGTGGCGCGAAAGGTCGCCCTGCTGCCCCAGATGTGCGCGGCACTCCAAAGTTTCGTCTTGCCGGTACGTAGATTGCGCGCGTCGTAACTAAACAAGAACAGTCGTTTTATCAATTCACTAACGCTCTGCAATGCTCGCTTTGATGTTCGTGCACTCGCGTGTATACGTGTATATGTGTGTGTGTGTGTGTGTGTACGTTGAGATCTGAATACTTATGCCGAAGCTCATTAAGAAACTTGACAAACATTTACGCAAATGTGCTACAAGCTTATATCGAATAAGAATTGAAACTTTGCGCTTTGATAAACCGAAAGACAGAAAGAGAGATAGAGAGAGAGAGAGAGAGAGAGAGAGAGAGAGAGAGAGAGAGAGAGAGCAGACGACAAATTGTTTACTTTCCGTGCACGTGCGCTGTTCTTGTTGTAAAACTCGCCGGAAGGGAGGTGTTAAGCTGCGCGACGATTTTTCATCGTTAAAGCGTAACGTGAAGAGCGATATAAAAGTTTTACAGAATCATCGTTTACAAAATGGTAGCTTCCTAGTCTAATATAAAATTATTTTAATCTTCATCATTTATTTAAAAAAAATTGATTTATGTTTGTGTTGACGTTTCTCGCTCTATTTGATGATATCGTTTATCACTCATCTCGTTAAAAAATGGTGAAAAAGGCTTTGAAGTTATTTTCAGGGGGAGTATTGTACATATATTAGTAACCGTGCATTAATGGACTTGATATTCTGGTCGTATGTCAGTTCTGTTACAAAACCGATGAGTTCATACTTAATAAGCTTTACAAATTCCTTCAATAATTTACTGTTAGTATTAAATTTCTTGTGCAGCGCAAATTCTTCCTTTAGTACGAACTGATAGCCAGTAATAACGTTGATGTCTCTCTCAAACTATATATATCAAATCGCTTTTAAAGGCCGCCACCAGGAAACCATTAAATTTAATACTTTGTGCTGAGAAAGAAGTAGTCGAGCGACGACGACGACGGCGACGACGTAGCCTCGCAATTTAATTAGACGACTGACGGCTAAAACGTTTTACTTGTAGCGCGGACTCTGACTGGAATCGCTTAAGCGCGATCGAGTGGTTAAAAAGAGGAGGAAGAGAGAGAGAGAGAGTGAGAGAGAGAGAGAGAGAGAGAAAAGAGGCCTCGATAGAACGACGACTAGTAGATAGGAAAAAACATATTACCTAAATGCACTCGTTTGCTAGAGCTGCAGTCTCTGATTTGAGTGCCGTTTCGCTGCGCCGTCGCTATTTCCGCGCTTTCAATCGTTTCGTTTAATTAGATAGTTGCGAATAAAAAACATTCCCTAAACGACATTTTTTTTCCGGAATCACATCACTCGACAGTTTCACCATAAAATTGATAAGGTTAATTTGTTTCCATTGTAAAGAAACATTTGAATAATATTTGTCGTAATCGGAAAAGTAGCTTGGAAAGAATCTTCGAAAAACGAGTGTATGCGATTTACGCAAAGAATGATGTGTCGGTTACCTTAAGGGCAAAGTAATGTTTTTAAATTTTCGTTTTTCGCTCTCAGTGTTCTTGCATTTAAATAGATATATCCCGTGCAAAGCTTTCTCTCTCGAACGCATCGTCCCTTATTTATGTCGGAAAATACGCGTTTCGATATTGATCTATGTTTACTTTGCGTATTACGTTGGCTGCTGTCCCAGCGTATAACGCACGAGCTTGTATATACACGTATGTTTCTTGTAGAATGTAAAATATAGCGACACAATGCCTTGGGGAATATTTGTCGTAAAATAAATATGCATTTTGTCTCCATGAGATCGGCGACTAAAAAGCCTTTGAATAAATAAGCCATTTTTTCCTAAAAATTATATCACAAAAATATATGTTTTTTGTATTTTTTCCCTTTTGCATGATGAATTTTTCTTTGCACGGTGAATCGAACTATACAATAGAACAAAATAATCACGAATCTTAAAAACCTCATGAATTTATCTCTCAAACATAGTGAGCGAAAAGGAACATGTGCAAAAAGAGACGACGAGACGACAGGAAACGCTAATTGCATAAAACCTTTTAAAGCCGCTTCGTTTTTTTCTATTCCATAAAACCTCCCCTCTGTGACGCCTTATTGCAATGCGCAGTGCTTTGCTGCCTGCCGCAATTCCGTGATAATGAAATTTTTCGCGCAATTGCGCGGTCCTCATGCTTTGCAGCCGCCACCCTCCCCACAAGTCAATTTTAGCTTCGCGGGTCTTGAACGCTTCGACGATGTTCGTCAAGGGATTGCGCGCGTTTTACGGAGATCACCAGGAAAAAAAGGTAAAAAGAGAACCACTTTGCGGTTTAGTGCAATAATGTGCGCTTATCTCTTTCCACGAGACAGTGGATTGAATGCGTTGAGGAGCGAGCGGGCAAACTACGACTAAAATAGTATTTAATTTCTTCTACTGAAAATCTTAGTCATCGAAGAGTAGGAAAGGGATGAATTTCTATGAACTTACTCTTATCGGAGCAGTCATTATTACTACATAGATTAACTATTTTATCAAACAAATGAGAGAAACCTAAACTGACTCAATTTTGTATTATTCTTACGCGTACTTTAATCAATACATTCTTATATTCATTTATTTACGTATGACCTACTTTACAAAGAAATGCGATAATTTGGATTACGAGATTCCGCCACAAAAAGAAATATCTAATAAAAAGCCCTCTTTTCTTTCAATAAAATCAACCACAGACTCGACTTTTTTAAAATCAATATCTTCAGGTATCTTTAATTTTAGCGTAGTTTCAATAATGTCAGATGACGAAAAAAGGGAGCGAAGAAAGCCATATAAAACTATATGTAACAAAATGTGTAGACATAAAAGACGACGCTCATATCGATACTTAAAATACTCTTAAAATTGTAAATACCAATCAAATAAACTTAATCAGTGGGATGACATTTGTCTGAGAGTAAAAAAGGAGTAATCTAAGAATAATAAAAGTAAGAGTACATGTACGAGAGCAATGCTAGAAAAATGAAAGAGCGAGTGATATAACGAAAAAACGAGAAAATAGCAATGAGTTAGGTGTGAAAAAGACAAATGCATGTGGAGCAGGCGAGAAAAGAGAATGAGTACAGGACGAAGTAGGGACAGTAATTTCGTTACCCGCGGTCTGCACACACACACACGCGTACTAATTTGACAATTTCATTGTGCTTACGTTCGCAAAAAAGAACCCGAATACAAAGATCCCTCTTGTCTCCATCTGCCGTGATTGCGTACGATCCCTTTTAATCGTTTCTCTTGCGCGTCCCCTCCTTTGTGTTTTTTTTCTTCGCGTGCTGTCCATTCGCGTTACGTTTTTCCAACTGCTCTTTCTCTCTGACCCTCCGGCATAGTTCGATTTGTGATTGCGGACAAATTTTCACGTTCATTCATTAATCGATTCGTCGGCTCTTTTTATTCTTTTTATTTTCACAGCGTCACGAATAAATTATATGGAGGATTACAATTCGCATGTAAAAAAAAGATGAACCTGTCTCATTAGTATTAAAATGACGTACGCCTTTCATAAAAATCATTTTCAATTGGTTTATTCTAATTTTTATCATATTTTCACGCTCATTATTCCAATTCCGTATCACAAATATACGTTGCGCGTTTAAGTCGTATTGAAAAAAATATATAAATTTTCATTGTTTGACTAAATCGGATTTATACTACTTGAGTATGATTTGTAGGTAACTGACAGTATAACATTCCTATATTGGAACACTTTTCTGAAATTTATTATATTATCGGTACTATTTGATTTTATGCTGTATTTTATTATTGAAAGCGTATAGTTGTGTCCAAATGTAGAAGGTTATTTTATGGCCAAGCACTTATCTAATGTTAAATGTATCGAAGTAATGTGTGTATCCTTGCCTCGTAAAGTATCACGTCGTAACAATAAATAAAAATATCTTGACAAGTTTATACGCGAAGCTGGTAAATTAATGCGTGAAATTCCGACAATCTATACACACGGCTCTAAAGACAATTCACACCTTTACCTGGTTAAGTTCAACAAAGCGTAGACGGCAAAACTTTCCAGAGAATTGCGGCCCGTGTAAACGGCTCTTAAACGATAGATTGTCACCTCGATTAATGCACGGGCGTCTTTGCATTGAATATACATAAACTTGCTTAGCGTATATACGGAAAAAATGTAGGAAGAGAGAGAGAGAGAGAGAGAGAGAGAGAGAGAGAGAGAGAGCACAAAAAACTTTTTAAAGGGCTAGTTAAACTTTTCGCATAAAATTAAAGAATTGTGATTTCAGTCGCACAATTTTCTTGCGCGCGTCTGCGCGATTTTCTTTTTTCCGCGACTGACAGCAGAAAATACAATTTGGCCCGCTAACTTTCGTAAATTCGAGCGCAAAATAGATTTCAATAGTTTTTTTGTCATAGTCCCTCGAGTAAAAGCAGCTACATTTTCGTAACTATAGGGATTGCGACTTTTGTTTTCGGAGTAAAAGTTTCTGTTGTGGTGGCGCTATATACAGGCTGTCACGAAAAGATATTTCCCGACGCGTGGAGCGTACTATACGACTACGTCGTCGTTCTCGCAATGTGTCTCGTTTAAAGATGAACACTTTACTGCTCGTTTTAAAAAGGTGAGTCGTGCGCTTTACAAGTTGGCTATTTACGTGGTTAGCTGTATATACAGCGGAGAACTAGCTCCCGCTGAAGTATGACTCGTAGTTTCTCAAAAATTATGCTTGCCTTGCGGGGCAAAGTTAGATTCAACATTTTGCTTTCGAAATGCTGTATATTACTTGAGGCAGAATTTACCACATTTTTTTGGATGAATAATATTACTCTTGATTTTTTATGTTGTTTTCAAATGGAGTTCAGCTTTCATTTAGGTCAGTTTTGTTTTACTAATAACTTTCTAAATAATAGATTTTGCGTGTATCAAACAGGAATTCGATATTATGTAGTTTTCCATGCTTTATTAATTACGCCATAATTTTAATTAATTCATACTTATGATGTAGATTTGCAATGAAAAGCCAAAATGAATTATACAGCGTACATTTCAACGTCATTACAAAGT